CAATTTAAAATAGGGATGCGGTAGCTCAGTGGATAAGGTGCTGAGATTGTTGATCAGAAAGGTCGGCAGTTCAGAGGTTGGTAACAGAGTGAGCTCCCGTTACTTGTCCCAGCTTCTGCCAGCCTAGCAGTTCAAAAACACGTAAGAAATGTAAGTAGAAAAATAGGAACCACCTTTGATGGGAAGGAAACAGCATTCCGTGCGCCTTCGGCATTTAGTCATGCCGGCCACATGACCACGGAGACGTCTTCGGACAGCGCTGGCTCTGAAATAGAGATGAGCACTGTCCCCTAGAGTCAGGAATGACTAGCACATATGTGTGAGGAGAACCTTTACCTTATACAATTTAAAACTATTTAGAATTATTTTTGGGATTGCAAGATTGCTGCTTAAAAAATATGTCTTAGTTCTAAAAGCAAAGGACATCCATATTGTTGTTCTCAGCAGCTATTTTTCAAAAAAAATATATGGTACTTTGAACCACACGATTATCATGTCAGAATAGAGGAATTTATTTGACTAGGTATGTATTTACTAGAATAGGTTCTACTAGGTTTTAGTGAACTTCTCAGCTTCTCAAAGAACAATTTAGCATGAATAAGCTGCATATTATCCAGCTGATTTCAGCAACCATCTCCCCATAGCTACCTGTTTCTAAGAGATCGTTCTGAAGAAATGTCGACAGTTAAATCAGGCAGTTCTGCAACTCAGGCTGGGGAATTCTGGGAGTTGAAGTCCACAGGGCTTAAACTCGCCAAGGTTGAGAAACACTGCCTTAAGGTATAATTCTTTTAAACAAGGTTTGTGGATTGAACCACAGCTGGCTGAATTCATGCATTTTTTAAAAGTAATATTTCCCTGGCTAGATACATGCCTTGAATCTCCACGAAGACCACATGATGGCCTCAATGAAGGAGACACATGATGACCACATGATGCAGTAGATAGATCTAGTCAATCAACTGATGACATAATAATCCAAAACGGAAAACAGTACCTTTGCATTGACAGTTTCACGTACGGAAAGGGCACTAATAAATCACAAAACTCTCCAGACGGGGCGGTCTTGGATGAGCCCAGTTCTAAAGCAGAAAAACAAGCCACCATACTAACTGACATATGATTCCAGGGCATATGAATTATCCCAGGCACATGTTCTTGCCAAACTGCCTTTCGGTACAGAAAGTCACTTTAATCGCAACTGCTAAAACCGATGACACAATCACTATTTTGTGATAGAGATGACAATTCTGATACCTGTCCTAAAATAAGCAAATTGCAATTAAAGGACCAATTTCAAAAGCACTCTTGTTCACATGAGATGGACCCACCAAATCTTGGCTCCCAATTCCCCCCACTTTGCCAATGTTGTATTCTACATACTTTTACTGTCATAAATCATGTTTTATCAACGAAAATGCTTGGTTTCACACAACAAAGGTGAAACCAAACACCATCTTTGGCTTAGCGGAGGGGTGTTCAAACTTGCTGACTTTTAAGATTTGTAGCCTTCCAAAGTCTTAAAGTTGCCAAGTTTGGAGACCCCCACATTACTCAGCAAGATATGTTAACTTCAATCGTCATGCCATTTTCAAGAACCATAAGTAGCGGAACATGATGGGGATTTATGGCCATTTTATTCCTTGGAAAATTTGTCACCATTTCCTCCTGCGATGAGAAACATTTCAGTTAGCCATGTTGCAAGGAAAAATATTTAAATCACTCCGTGGCATTTGACCATCCTTGCTATAAATTTAATCCGGGGGGGGGGGGAGGAAATATCCCAATATCCCTTGAGGCCGGAGATCAATCTCGACTGTTGATGGCCTGAAGGTCATCAGGGAAGCAGTGAGCCCTCACAGGATGAGCCAGCGGTGACTAGAATGGTTTCTACAAGATGTTTACTATCATCAGAAATTAGTGTGTATAGGACCAAGATGAAGCTGTTTATACAACATGACTTCTGCATCCAGCCTGCTTGCACAGAACAAGGCTTGGATCTGCTAGCAGCAAACTAGGCTTCAATGACTCATTAAAACCTATAATAGACCACCGCCTTGTCTCTTCCTTATGGCCCTCCAAGGTAGAACTCATTGCTATCCCTGCCTACCTTATATTCACATCTCAAGATTCTCCTATCGGGATGCCTGCCACAACCGGATTAACTTGGGTGAAGTGATTAGCAAGATGAGCATCCGGTACTTGGAAGTACTAAGAGTTGCTGAGCACAACTCAGTAGATACAACAGACAGTCCTCGACTTAACAGTTCGTTTAGCGACTGTTCAAATTTACACTGGAAAAAAGTGACTTATGACCTTTTTCACGCTTTACGACCGTTGCAGCATCCTCATGGTCAAAATTTGGACGCTTGGCAACTGGCTCATATTTATGCCAGCTGCAGTGTCCAGGGGTCATGTGATGACCTTTTGCGACCTTCTAACAAGCGGATTCAATGGGGAGGAGCCAGATTCACTTAACAACTGTGCTACTAACTTAATTGCAGTGATTCGCTTAAGATGCGTGACAGGAAAGGTTGTTTTTAAAAAAAGGCAAAATTCACTCAACAACTAACCTGCTTAACAGAAATTTTTGGCTCAATTGTGGCCGTAAGTCAAGGACTAGCTTATGCTCCATTGTGCATTGTATCATATGCATACAATTTATCTCCTTAGAGCCCCACCTTCCTCTACAGTAAAAAATAATAATTAAAAAGTATTTAGCATTTCTGCACTGGGGATTTTCTGAGGGTGGAGGGGCAGCACCAGAGCCGAGTAGTGGACAGATGTTCTAAGTCTTTAGAAATGGCATCAGTATGAATAGCTTGTCCCCTTGGGGCAGGGCCAATGGTTTCAGTTCAAGGATGCAAGCTGCTGTTATCAACTCATTACTGATAATCCATAAACTGCAAAGTCAACCTGATGTTTTACTGCTTTGCAAATTATTTCCGTTAACTATTAAGTCCCATGAAAAAGGAAAAAGAGCTTAAAGAAGCTGCATGGCATTAATAGCATAAAGCTTGCTCTTTTTTGATCCTTGGCTCATTTCTTTTTTTCAGTTGCTACAAAGAAATCAATTAAGCTGGTAAAAACAGCAGCGGCAGACAAAAGACAGCATGGTTTGAATGGGGGCAGCTCCAGTTCTCATTTCCATCCAGTCACAATGAACACTGGGAGGCCTTAAGGCTATCCACTCTCACAACTAATTCATCCTCAAAACACCCCTACAGAGGAAAGAGAAATTAAAAAAAAAAAGATATTCAAGAATGATTCGAATGCACGTTAAGCTTTGCAGGGAAACATTATCCCAAAAAGTTATCAATTGAATTTTATCTAAAATGTAATCCCCCCAAAAAGCAAAGGGACAAGATAGGCACAATTTGTATAATACCTTAGGAATCAAAATGAAAGTTCAATTAAATCTCATGGGCAAATATATTTCAGAAGACTGCCATGTTTGTAAATATAATTATTTGTTTTAAGGGAGCGGTTTGAATTGTGTATTAACAATACTGACAGACTGGCATAATGTGGTTTGAGCTTTGCATGGTACTGTAGATCAACCCAGCCAATTCTAGTTTAATAAAGCCAAACTGGCTTTAAACTGGCTTAGCAGGATAGGTGAAAACAGCCACCGAGGAGGTTTCTTTATCTGAAGCAATAATTTAATGTCCACCAATCCCAGTGTTATAACAAAGCACACAATTGTCATGTTATCCCAACCCATCTGGAGGATGACAAGACCAGAAAGGCGTATTTGTTGCAGGTTGTGTGCCATCAGTTGCAACATTCCCATCATCCTAAAAAGATACAGTTCAAAGATGTGGCTTCATGTTCTAATTCTCGATGAGCCCCAGTTCTGTACAGTGAAGTGAGCACGAAAGATAGAACTGAGGCTGCAACACTAAGGCCACTAGTTTCATTTTATCAGTCATCTGGGACTCTTTTTATTTTTTAAAGCAGCCACAAAAATCCAGACTGAATTTCACAGTATTCTTCCAATATCTGAAAGCTTCAGTCACAGACAATTCTTAGGGAGTAGAATAGCTCTGGTGGCCTACTTTGGCTTATCTCAGTCCTGAGAAGCCAGCAGTCAGCAGATAAGCTCACAATAAACGAAGGAGATACTGGTAGGAAAAACCCTCCTCTTTTGCAGCTCCTCCTTAATTTAGAAACCAGTTTTCTCGGCCCCATTGAAATCTGCCAGCCTTCCTATCCGGGTCACGGGTACATTGCAAGCTTAGCTGAATAACGTGAATGTGGGGAAAGCAGCAGAGGCTTCTAAACATCGCTTTCTCTCTCCCCCCCCCAGTCACATGGGCGGTCAGGGTTCCTTCATCAGCTGGTGTTATGACATCACTCCCATCCCCCCCCCTTTTCCATCTCCTTTTCCCCAAAGAAGCCTATCTCCTTTTCT